TTTTTTCTAAAAAAAAAAAAAAAATGAATAACATTTACGATCCTTCGTCACCTGACCCAAGCAAAGTGACGTTCTTTGACTTTGGCAAAACTGCCAGCGAAATCTTGGAAAATACTCGGTATGAATTCACTTTACACCCTGAAATCTTAGTACGAAACTCTGAAACTACTCGAAGAGCAAAGAGGAACCGAAAAAAAGGAATAAAAAAAGCGCCAAGACGCCAGAATCCCTGGATCATATACCGAAGGGATAAGAGCGCCAACAAAGCGTTTTTTAGACTAAAATCTTCAGTTATTTCAAAAAGAGTTTCCATTATGTGGAAACATGAACCAAAGGAAGTTAAGGACTTATTCGAAGTCCTCGCGAAAATTGCCGAAGGGATTCATGAAACGGAACATAAAGATTACAAATATGTTCCCGGGCCCTCGAAAAAATCAAAACCAGAAAGAAAAAATAATTCAAATGATATGTATGAGGGCAAAATCCTCTGCTTTCCAACCCCCACCACTGATAATACTATGTCGACATATTCGGACCCTCCAACTCCAACAAACGACACCACTATGATTAAGCTTTCATCATCACCGCCTCCAACTCCCACCACTGATATGACTATGTTACCATCACCGACATATTCGAACCCTCCAACTTCCACCATTCATATGTCTACGTTACCATCACCGACATATTCGAACCCTCCAACTCTAACAAATGACATCATTATGATTAAGTCATCATCATCACCGCCTACATTTACAATTCCGGGACCCCCAACTCCCACATCAATGCCTCCAACTCCAACGACACTCACAGCTGATACTGATATGTCGTCACCTAGCCCTCTAACTCCGACGTCCCCTACTCCAACGTCTCCTATTGATATGCCACCATCAGAAGCCATAACAACAAACCCTGCGTACCTAATTTGCTATAATAATACTATGTTGGTACCATCCGTACCTTGGGACCAAAATCTGTGCTTACAAAGTCCTGATATACCGGACTTCCCAAGCATGGAGCAAGCATTTTTTTCGACCCCTCAAGATGAGGATTCTGACGACATTCACAACACCACCACCAACACCACCACCAGCACAACCACCACGGAAACCATCAAGTATGTCGAAGAATATTCGTTATTTCCGGGTTTGGAGGAAATTGAGATGCAATATCCTCTTCAATATCCTCTTAACAACCATTATTAATTGTATGGATTAAAAAAAAAAAAATATGGACTTTATCCCTATAGTAAGTCGTTATAAAAGTATATCACATTAATATACCAGAAATATGTTTAAATTTTTCTACTTTTTTTTTTTTTTCGAGTTGAAAATTTTGAGCATGATTTTTAGTAAATTTCTGTGACATATGATATTATTATGACTTGTTATAGGGATAAAATCCATATAAAATCTATACAAAGAACACGTTTTTTTTAAGTTTTGTTTATAACAATTTAATATGAATTATATATAAGTTAAATTTTTAAGAAGTTTAAGTTATCGACATCTTTTGATTATCTCCTTTATAAAATTTCCTTTTTTACACTATATGCATATGTATAAACTTTATTAAATATTTATTTTTTTTTTATTATTATTTCCTTTTTTCTTTTTTTTTTACTCCTCATTGTTATAAATTGTATTGTATATTTTTAATATAAATATTGATAATAAAAATAAAGTTTTTTTTTTTCTTAACAGTTAATATAAAATAAAATTTTTTTTTTATGTAACTTGACTAAAACGCGTTAAACAGATATTTGTGTAAATTAATGTCCAATCGTTACAATTTAATCATTATTAAATGGGTTAAATGGGAAAACAACAACTTATCACATAAATAATAATAATAATATAATGGTTAATCACCAATTATAAAAGATAAGGAGATGTTTTCTTTTTGTGTCACTTGAATATCGTTGCACGAAAAAGAAATGATTTTTTTTTTTTTAAAAAAAAAAAAAAAAAAA